TTGACCCGGCAATTCTACTGCTGGGATTATATCCCAAGAATCTTGAAACACCAATCCAAAAGAACGTATGCACCTCAATGTACATAGCAGCATAATTTACAATAGCCAAGTGCTAGAAGCAACCTAGGTGCCCATCAGTAAATGGGTGTATCAATAAACTATGGTACATTTACATTATGGAATACTACACAGCAGAGAGAAACAAAGAATTCCTACCCTTTGCAACAGTGTGGATGGAACTGGAAATCATTATGCTAAGTGAAATAAGCCAAGCAGTGAAAAACGAATACCATATAATTTCATCTTTAAGTGGAACCTAATCAATAAAGCAAATAAGCAAGCAAAATATAACCAGAGACACTGAAATAAAGAACAATCTGACAGTAACCAGAGGAGAGATGGGAGGGGATAATGAGGGGGAAAGGGTGAAGGGTTTTCAGGAACAGCTCTAAAGGACACATGGACACAACCAAGGGGGGGAGGATCAGGGGAGGGATGTGGGGATGGCTGGGATTGGGGGAGAGGTGGAGGGAATAGGCAGACCACTGTACTTGATAACAGTAAATAAATGGAAAATAAAATTAAAAAAACTGCCTCTCCTAAGCAATTATAATAAAAAAATTACTGTTTCTCAAAAAAGAGAGAGAGAGAATGTCTCTTTTTCAGGTCTATTTAAATGGGATCAAAATCTCAAAATGAAGAAACCAAATGTATAAGAATAGTTATTACAGCTGTATGTGTTTGGAGAGGTAGCTCCTGAGGTCTGATATTTTATGAAAAGATTCAGATGTAAAAATTCCAGATGACCATTGCTTTCTTCCTTGACTTACCTAACTTAGGACTTTTAAACTTACTGATTGGTGGTGGTAGTGATGCTGGTGGTGGTCAGGGAGGTGGGCAGGGGTCCAGCGGTCTAATTCATGCTTCTGCCATTTTTTCCCACTATGGTTCTTGATGAGATAAACGATATAAAATCCGAAATAGAAGCAAGTTGCTATTTTTACAATCCGAGTCTCATAAATACACATAATATAAAAACTTGAATTTTTGAGACTTTATTAAGAAATGTTTAGGAAAATAAATTATGTTGAAAAGTATATATAAAGGATTTTCTTAAGCAGATGTTAAAAAACTTTTTATTATTAAAAATGTATATTGATTACAAGATTAATTCAATAATATAATGAGTTAATTCCCAACTGCCACCCACCAAAACAACCAGTGTTCTGATTATTGAGGAACAAGAAATGTCCAAAATCTTTCTTTTTATGGGGGAATGGGGGGGGGTCGGGGGTAGAGATAGACAGGTGTCTACAAAAATTGTAAAAGAAAGTAAGCCTACAAATTTCTGTTTATCATTTGCCATCAAATCATTAGACATTGCAGCAAAGCATTATAAAATATGTGACATGTTTAATTTGAAAATGTTAAAAAAAGAAAAAATAATATATGTTTTGAAACAGCAAAGGTACAATGGAAGCTTAAGAAAAGAGGTGAGAGAGAGAAGAGAGTAATGAAGAAAGGAAGGGAAAGAGAAATGGGGGGAGAGAGAGAAAGAGAAAGAAAAAGAAAAGGAAAGAAGAAAGGTAGGTGTGCAGAATGAGTCTCAATATTCCAATATTCTCCCTTTACTTTTGGTTATATCTCTGGTGTCTCCACATCCACTATCCCCTTGTTCTTAAAACTATAGTCTGGGACAGCAGGAGACTTTTCAGGTCCACCTCACAACCTATTTGGTCAGAATCTGCATTCTACTAAGATCCAACGTTTTGAATAAGCACATTCCACTTTTAGAAACAGTGTTCTCGATCACAATGTCTGGTAGTGACATGACAGGGGAGAAAAAAAGGAACTCTCTAAAGCAAGACAGAACATGAAACATAAATACACAGGCAATCAACAAATTAACTACGCAACCTAAAGAAAATTTCTATTGATCTGTAATTGTGTAATGCATCAGTTATTTTATAAAGCTAGAAAATAAAAATAGAGGTAAACTTTAATTACTATTTTTTGTCTGGGGAGAAAGTGGTCAGCATAAAATATGGGGAACTACTATAATTGGCTCTTTTCAGTGCATTTCCTATTCATTTTATGCCTTCTAGTAACCTGATAAGCTGTCACATAAGTTAATATTAAAACAACAAATTATACTTTATTTGAATGGTATTAAAATCTTGTATTTATACAATTACTATCAAATGTTATGTGTCCAATTAATATTACATTAAATGATGCTTTTGTATAGGAAAGTAAAACAGCTAAAGGAAGCAGATATGTGTGTTCTTAAAATGCAGCTATGATTATATTAAACATAGAAGCAATATTTTAGATGTTGTATAGCATACTTATAAAAGTAGTTTACCTAAAGAAAGATCTAATTTTTTTTATGTTGCCAGCCCTTAGAGCTATGAACAAGAAAACATTGGATATACACTTATAGGAAAGACTATAAAATGGAAAAACAAGGCAACACTTTGTACAAATCTATAATACACTGTAAAATTAAAGAGCTTCATATATATTTTTAATTAAAAAACTCTAAATCATCTATACAATTCTGATGTATTTTTTAAGATTTTGTTTATTTATTTTTAGAGAGAGGGTTAGGGAAGGAGAAAGAGAGGTAGAGAAACATCAATGTGTGGTTGCCTCTCATGCGCCCCTGCACTGGAGACCTGGCCCACAACCCAGGCGTGTGCCCTGACCAGGAACCGAACTGGCAACACTTTGATTCACAGGCCCATGCTCAATCCACCGAGCCACACCAGCCAGGGCTATTTTGATTTATTTTAGCTGAAAGAGGTCATTTCATCCTTTTAATTTAAAATTTTTTAATTGAGGATAAAAATTATTTTTACCCTCAGAAATGACTTTGGTTATTTCATGAGATATTTTATGAAATATTTCATCAGATATTTTGTAAGATATATGTTTATTGAAAACCCTATGTCTTGTGTGATTGATTTATGGTTACAAGATAGAATTAAGATTTTATACCGTTCCTACCTATTCAAATGTTAGAGATTGTTTTTACTCTGTAAAACTGCCTAAATTACATAAAACTTCTTTTTGTGATAAAATCTTAATTAGGTGTTTTTTCTAACTGTAAGCATAATAATAAACATATTTTTAAGAACAAGACATAAAACATGTACTTAGTTTTATTCTTTATTACTATTTAATCTTATTTTTAAAATCAATAAGATAAAACCATACTTCTTTGCAATAAGTAAAATGCAATGAACCACACAACTGTCTGCCCATCATAAACTTCAAAATCAATGTTATTTTTAAAGCAAAATTTTGCATAAAGCACACAAATGGAGAAGCTGAATTTATATTAATTTGTTGTTAACATAAATGTTTAAAATACATTACTTAACACAGAGTAAATGAAAATATTTAATGCAGTTTTTGTGAAAGAACTCTTTTTTTCTGAGAATATCACTGTTCATTTAAAATGTCAGTGTCAGAAAATGGAGCAGTATTTTCCCACAACTATATTTAAGCTCCTATTATAATGATATCTTAACCTAAGTCAATGATTTTGATTTCTAATTCATTAAAATTGCCTTCTTCCTATCAGCTACTTTAGACTTGAGAAGTTTCAAATTAAATGAAAATATTATTAAACCTCTTTCCCATAGAGAACAAATAATTCCTAAGTGCACTATTTAATGATAAGCTGCATCATGAACAGTAAGTTTAAATACTCATGACTGAATTCACATCTTGAGGGAAGTATTCTATCTATGTTAAAATTAATTCATCAAGTGAAGAACAATGATCTCAATGGAAATTTCACAGCAAATATATATTTAAATATTCAAAATATTTAGGTGACTGTCTACCCTATTTTCTTTACCAAAGATGACAACTTTCTCTCATCTTAGGTATTTTTTAGCAATTTTGTCCACTCCATATTGTTCATGGTAAAGTCTTAGTTCATATACTACCCTGTACTTTCTTTTAGGCATAAGCAGGTAGTTGTAAAAATGTTCTTCCCAAATGTGTTTGTGGCTCAGAGAATTAAGATTATACTTTAATAAAACTGAAACCTAAAGAAGAGAGATTGATATTATAAAATGGTCTGATTTTTCAAGGGGAGTATAAGAAATATTTTGTCCTAAGGAATAAAAGTAAAGTGTACCACTCTATTCTTTGTATATTTAACTTTTAACTTTTATTTTATAGTGTATTTTTATTTTCTTAAATTCAAATAAGATAAACATTAAACTAACAAATATTTGCTTTTAAAAACTGATATAGAGGAGAAGTTGCTTACAATAAGAGGTTTTTAAAAAATTTAATCTTTGTTATATTTTTCCACTACCATTTAGTCCCCTTATACCTCCCTGTCCCCAGTAATCACCACACTATTGTCCATGTTCATGAGTCCTTTTTCCTTTTTGCTCAATCCCTCCTTGCCCTAACCCCCCACCAGCTGTCAGCCTGGTCTCCATCTATGCCTGTGTCCCCATTTTCCTAGTTAGTTCAGTATGTTTATTAGATTCCACATATGAGTGAAATCACATGGTATTTTTCTTTCTCTGACTGGCTTATTTCACTTAGTATAATGTTCCCCAGGTCAATTCATACTGTTGCAGAGGGTAAAGTTTTCTTCTTTTTTATGGCCAAATAGTATCCCTTTGTGTAAATATCCTAAAGTTGTTTTATCCACTCATCTATTGATGGATACTTAGTCTGCTTCCATATCTTGGCGATTGTAAATAATGCTGCAATGAATATACAGGTGCTCATGTTCTTTTGAATTAGTGTTTTTGGTTCTTTTGGATGTATTCCCAGAAGTGGGATCACTGGGTCAAAAGGCAGATCCAGTTTTAATTTTTCAGGTGTTTCCACACTGCTTTCCACAGTGGTTGCAGCAGTCTACATTCCCACCAACAGTGCACAAGGGTCCCCCTTTCTCCCCATAGAATCTGTTACATTTTGTAAGAGAATGTCACAGAAATTTTTAATTTGTATTTTATTTTCAGATGTAAAATATTTAAAAGAGGAGGATGCAAATCGCAAGACTTTCACTGTCAGCAGCACCCTGGACTTTCGAGTGGACAGGAGTGATGACGGAGTGGCAGTGATCTGCAGAGTCGACCACGAATCCCTCAATGCTACTCCTCAAGTGGCCATGCAGGTGCTAGAAATACACTGTAAGTAAATGCTCCCCACCCCTCTTTATCGTGGCAGCAGATCTCTTCATCTGTGTTTAAAATCATTTCAAAATTAGGTGAAGTTACAGAAAATGTGCAGCAAAATCTACAGCCAAATAAAGTAAAATTACTCTCAATAGTATTAATCAAGTTCAAAGGAAGTAGTCTTTGGCTGAGTATCATTACATTGAAGGAAGAAAAAGGAGGCATCAAAAGGTTAACGCTCCTAATTACCTTGCAAACAGTGGCTTGATGTTTGGGTGCACATCTGGGTTGGGGAAGGAAAAGTGGTAATTTTGAGACAGAGAGTTGGGGAATCTGAAAAGGTCATTGATGAGCTTTATTGTATGAAAGAAACTCTGTTACATGCAAATACATCTTTCTATCTGTGCTTTTATTAGACTATTTTTGTTATCTCCTCTATGAAATATACTGAGTCTGTATGAATGCAAGGGCATATCAAGTATGTTATCTTCATCAATATCATATTATTTGCAAGTGATAAGAACAATATTAACTAGATGACTCCAGGAGGCCAGATAAAGGCTTCATTGGCATTATCTCACCTCACGTTATCTGTTAGAGCATCAGCATAACAAACTGCTGTGTAGTTACTCTGTTTAGTCATAATTGACAGATGAAGACACCAATGATTATAAAGGTTGAGTCACTCAGGCAAGTTCACACAATGAGCAAATTGTGGACTTGTCATCATAATATTTTTAGTAGTTAGCAAGGTCCTAGGTATAGGAGATCTATAAATATTTATCAAAATGAAAGTGAATGAATTAAAATAAATAAGATAAAGCAGAAAAGTAAAAGAGTAGAACACTGGATGTTGTATTTCTGAATTGGATTACTTGATTTTTTTAATATTGGAAATTTCTTATTTGCTTTTGTTATCTATTAAAGTTCTAGATTGAACTTACAATTTAAGTAAGATGTGAACTTATATTAAATACTAAAAGTTTAAGTGTAAGTACCCATCTTTGAATATGCCTTATATTTGCTTTCACTTATTTATTGAATAAGAACTTATTGAGTGCCTACTATGTAACAGGTATTGTATTGGGCACTGGGGTTACATAAGTGACCAAAAAAGAGCAACAAAACAAATCAAGATGGTCTTCAAGTGTCAAAATCACCGCTACTACCAACAGCAACAAATTCCTTTTCTGTTACAGCATCTGTCCTATGTAGGAATGACAGAAAAACAAAATATATAAATACAACATGAACTAATACAACATAAATACATGAACTAAGTTTTATGGGCAAAAATGAAGCAACACTGATGATAAAGAGTACCATTGGAGAGGTGGGGATGGGGGTCAAGGGAAGTGTGTGTGTGTGTGTGTGTGTGTGTGCGCGCGCGCTATGTATTATATATATGGAGGTCTGTCCAGAAGATATTCAACCAAAGTAGCACAATGAATAGAGACATTTATTGAACAAGATAGAAGATACAACAAACACTGTACATAGAATGACAGTGACACCTAAGTCCTCTTCAAAGTAGGCATCTTGGGACCTCACACAGTTCTCCCAGTCACCATCAGCTGCCCATTTTATTTTCCTGAATCTCATCAATGGTCTGAAATCTCTTCCCTTTCAAAGGTGACTTTAGTTTTGGGAAAAGCCAGGAGTCAAAGGGCACCAAATCTGGGCCGTGAGGGGCTGAGTTACCTAGGTGATTTGATGTATCACCAAAAAAACTCTGCACAAGATGTGATGTATGGGAGATGCGATGTTGTGGTGAAGCTGCCAATCACCAGTTGCCCATACCTGTGGCCTTCTGAATCATCCAAATAATTTCAGCTGAGGAATGTTCAACTTTAATGCCAAATTTGATGCAGGTTCATTGCTCTACTTGCTCAGTCATTTTGAATGCAATGATCACACAGTACACATGCTCGCTCAACAGTGTCTACTGCCCTCACTGACCAGTACAGGGAAGATATCATGGTTCATGCATGCACATTCCAGTCTACTCTTCCTGGCTGCTAGGTTACATTAATGTTACATAAGCCATTCTTACCATATTAATAATGGCTGGAGTTTTTATCAGGCATATCTTGTATGTGTAATATTTTATATACACATACCAAAAGAGAGAAGGAAGAGCAAGTGTAAAGGCCATGAGGTAGATTCATGATTTAGTGTTCTAGGAACACCAAAGGCAGCAGTAAAACCAGGGTGGAGTGGACTATGGGAAAATTCAAGAGGGTGTTATGAAAAAAGTTTGAAGTACCAGGGGAACTAGGCCTTTAAAAAACTTTCTTTCACTGAAAAATTTTCATTCTTATTATAATTTTTAATTATTGTTCATTGTGATTTAATTACTCTCAGTTTATTTGTCATTAAAATTGTTATAATTTTACATAGTTTCAATTATATTAAATTGGTTTTATTAATTTTCTGTTCTTATTGAAGCAGATACAGAAACAAGCATATTTTATAGCCCAAACTGAGACAATCTATAAATTTCAAAACTTATTTGCACTAAGACCTTGGAACAATTATTGAAACTGATTAATATTTAAATATAACCTAGAGAATTAATTTTTGTGAGGAACAAAGTAGACAACTTAAGTTCATAGCATTAAAAAAATAATATATCTCCTGCCCTTAGTCAACTTAGGCTTCTATAACAAAAATGCCTGAGACTGGGTGGCTTATAAACAATAGAACTTTATTTCTCACAGTTCTGGGTGTGAGAAGTCTAATATCAAGGTTCAGGCACATTCGGTGTCTGGTGAGGACCTGCCTCCTGGTGCGCGGATGGTCTTCTGTCTGTGTGCACGCATGGCGGAGAGGGCTAAGAGAGCCCTCTGGGCTCTGCTATAAGGATGCTAATCTCAATCAGGACCTTCCAAGGCCCCACTCTTTATCATCACTTTGGAGGTTAGGTTTCAACATATGAATTTGGGCAGGACAAGCATGTCTATAGAATCTTCCCTTTTCTATTTTTCTTATTTCATCCATGTCTTTCAGTATATGGAAAGGTATAATTTGATATGCTGAGAGAATCCAGATCATCAGCATTGTAATTTAAAGTTATTTTCCTTGCATATAAAGCCAAGTAAAACTATATATTTTTTAAATGTAATATATAAAAATTATATTTGGTTGCTAATTTAACTGTAATCTCAGACATAAAACTAATGAAAGTTGAGTCATAAGGAGTGTTGAAGATTGCCAGCCAAAGATGGTGGGCCATCTGCTAGTATCCTGGACAAGTTAGGTTTATTGGGTGTTTTATGGTAAAAGAGAAGGCAGGCAAACCAGGCAATCTTGGAGTGTGGGTAAGAGTTAGGAGTGGCTTTATGACAAGAGTTAGGAAAGACTTGTCCTGAATATTTTAAAAACAGTTCTGGGATTGGATGCGGTCAAGGCTGGGGGTGAGAGAGTAATGAATATGTTGGTAATGTTTACCTAGAAAGCAAAAATTTTAAAGCAAAACTTGTTTTCCTGTTATAAAAATGCAATGGCTAATGTGCTAATTTTTGTGGTTGCTGAATGTCTTGGTGTCTGTCTTGTTTCAGACCTGATCGTGCAGTAGACATTCTTTATCTTACTTCATTCCATAGTCGCAGAATGGCTTCGTCTGATTACTGTTTAGATTCTAGAGAATCGTTTATGTGTTTTGAAAATGTTTCAGCTTAGCTGTCAGATGCCAGTCGTCAGCTGCTAAATTCATTTTCATTTTCTTGGGAGTCTAAAATGGAACTATTATACACTTCCTGGGCATTTTTAGTTCATCATATTTCAACATGCGTTATTAAGCATACTTTACAGAGGAAGGCAATTGAATTGCCTAATTTTTTAGAAAGTTTTGTATGAAAAATGTCAAACTTGTTGGCCAATTAAAAGTAACAACTCATTCTATCATGGTTTAATATGTAAGTGGCTAGAAGGCAGAAATCAGATCTATTTAAATAATTTTCCCCCAAATCTAGCATACATACCATCATTTAAGTATGTGAAGTTAGTTAGAACTAACTGATGATAATGCTGGATGTTACTTTAGTGATGCAGAACATTCCCCAGAGATGAAATGAAGGGTGGAGAGTGGAGAGACAACATTTAGCAACAGTCTGCATCAAAATTAGAACAAATTTGGTATAGTCTTTATAAACATCTAAGCATCTCAATGGTTATTTTCAGAGATAGTAGATTATGAATCTACCTAGGTGTGAGGGCAACATTCATGATGTGGCAATTTCTACAGGTGCAAGTGGAGGGAATTCAAGAGCTGAAAAAATAGGGTGGTTAGTTTACAACTTATGAAACATAAATTTAGGATTTCCACATTGTTTACAACATTCCTATGAATAATTCCAGACTGGCCCAAATAGAAAAGTACTTACTTGGCCTTCTGATCCCCGTAAGCAGAAAAGATGCCATTGTTTTCTGCAGTGAATGACAAGAGTAATTATTTAACCTAAAATAATGTAAAGTTATGACTACACCTGAAATAAAAGCCCGTGCTATTGTGGAAAGACAAGTGTGATGAGAAATAAGAAATAAGTATTAAACACATAGTGAGTGTCAAGGAGCATTATTTTTGAAAAAATACTAGACACAATTATATTTCTAGAGCTAAATATTTTAACTCTGTAATCTTGTAACATATAATTAAAAAGAATTCAGCCTATAAAATGTATCACAGCAACATTCATTGTTCTCCAAAATATTAATAATAAATTCTACTGTCACTGCGAAGGGGGAAGGTGTCTTCAAACTTGAAATTAAACAAAATGTTGAATTTAACTGAGAACCACAAATGCCTGCACATTTCACTTAATAGGTAACAGCATATTGTGCACCTGAGCAAAGGAAAAGACCAATTTCTTTTTATGGATAGAAATTCTCATTCATTTTCTTGTTTTTATACAGATCTCATTGAAACAGTAACCATTCTTTGCTGATTTAATTTTTAGAAGAACAGATTGTATGAGTCAGGTTTTATTTAATTCTAAGTAAGAGTAATGTATCTG